TTAAATCTTTTCTTTTTCTATAGAAAAATAATTAGTCTAATAATAATTTTAATATCTTTAGGTCTTATTCTTGAAATCTTATTACATATACGTCTATCTTGTTGTTTAATAGCAAGTAAAATGTCAACAACATTTCTTCGCGAACAACAATTATCACTTTATATATTATATATATTTGCTTGTTTAACAATAACATCTCTTCCATTTTATTTTTATCGTACAATTGATATAATATTTGATTCATTTCTATTAACATATAGTAATGATATGATTAATAGTCGTACACTTGCACAAATAATATTATCTGGTATAAGTTTTAAACCAATATTATATTTAATATTATTATTTCCATCAAAAATTTTATTTAAATATAAATGTTATACAACAGTTAAAATTGAAAGTATCAATCAATTAAATAATGTTTTTTTAATTAATAATAAAAAACATGAAGAAAAAAATTTAAAAAATTTAAATCATGAACGTTATTCATTAAAATTATCTTCGATTTATCCAAAAATTCATATTAAATTTCGATCATTATCAAATCCATTAGTAACAACTAATAATATACGTTCAATTATTATCGATCAAAAACAGAATACATCCGATGATATATATGTATAAAACAAAAAGAAAATTTTTTTTTTTTTATTCTATGAAATTAAATTAACATGACACGAATTTTTTTTTTTGTGCACTAATAATGTCAAAAGTCTTTAAAACAAAAAAAAAGAATAATAATCAAATTACTTTCATATTATCTGTTGACAGATAAAGAATTTAATTTTTCTAAAGACGATTTATGTTGAAAAATATATATTTTGACATATTAAATAACTGTTGTATCTTTAATTGTGTAGTTTTTTAAGTATTAAGGTCAACTCGATCTTGTTGCAAGTATTTGATATATAATGATAATATAAATATTTTGAAAAACATTCAAAGTTTTGACAAATAAAATGAAAGATATCGGCTTTTCTGATGTTTAGCTTTAAATAATAATCAACGAAAGACTTCAAGTCTATTTTTGTCAAAACAATCATTATTAAGATAAAATGTACTAGAGATTGCCTTGAATGTCTACTTTGAATATTCATAAAACAAGATTGTTCAATTGTGACGTGTTGCGAAAAGATTGTTTAAAAAATTCTGAAGCTCTCTATGAAAAATATTCTCAATTGAATCTAGACAGAATATTGCGTGTAACCATGTCGTGAAAATTGCCTTAGTTTGAATGATTAATTATGATATTGAAAAAATCAATGATTAATCGCAATGCATCAACAATTTCTGATACATGATATAAATCACGATTCATTGGCAATTCCATTATAGCAAGAATAGTTGAATAGTTATATATAATATTTGATTTGTTATTGCTTTTATTTCTAGATATTCAAGCAACCGTTTTTGCAAAAAGAATGACTTGAAAACTATTTTTAGATTTACATAATTTGTTATATACTGAACAATCGTACTAAATATTTATTAGTAAATTTATTTCAGTTAAAAGACAAGTCTTTACCTGTTCTACATACGAATCATCTCATTTTACTGCAGAAAATCTATTCTAAATTATATTATTAGGATGTTACATGTAAGGCATGCTTTCTATTTTCTTTAGGAATGAAGAAAATGAACTACTTTTTTTTTTAATCACTAAGAATCAATAAAAAATCAAAGTAGTTTAGAAAAGATGCAACATCAAACTTATCATCGTCCGTGAAAGATTAATAATAGAATAAATGATACTTATATGTAAAATCCTATATCAATTTTCATTTAGTATATTTCTCGATAAGTTTTTCTTCGTTCATTCTTTTAATTGGCAAGCATTACCTTTGACAAATATCGTGCTATATTATAAGTCGTTTTTCCAGTAGAGGTTAGAAAACTATATGATTGTAATTTGCTACGTACATGAAATTTATCACACATTAAACCCATAATAGTCATCAGTCAATACTACTATTGGAGAGCATTTGAGTGAAATATAAATTATGGATTAGAAAAGGTCATAAATGAATTGTGACTTATAATAAAAAGCAAGAATAGATCGGCTAAAACCATCTGTTGTGACAATTTTATCGCACAATTAATCGAACTAATAAATCATGATACAATCATCAATTTTTAGGTCACTTGCACCGCATGAATTTAAGAGGCAATATGTGGGTCACTGGGAATAGTTTCATACGTGTCTTGAGTAATTTTAGCAATGGATATATAACATAGTTCTATCGCATATTAATGATCGATGACAGATAAATAAAATGTAAAAAAAAAAAAAGAACTTTTCGTGTTTTTCAATCAACGATCGAACTGCAAACAAATTTTGTTTCACTATGCTTCGTTGTCCAGAACTATAGTTAGTTTTTAGATCATATGATACACCTTTGCATGAAGTGAAGGAATTTTTCTAAATAGGATCTATTTAGTTCTGTAGAAAACCTTGCCTGTCCGGAGAACCTTTGACGGCATTTTAAAGTTTTAGAAGGTTTGATGTTGCCGACAATGAAGAAAGTAATAATAAAAAACATCTATTCTTCATTTGAAGAAGTGAACAGTTCTTTCAAATACCATAAGTATTTGTTGCAAAACTCGACATATAATGAAAACCGTTTGCTCAAACACAGGAGCCCATTTTACGCCTTGATCTCTAGAAAACTCTCGAATACTGCGAGTCAAATATGTAGAAAAAATATGATGGAAATCTCTTTCATTATAAAGAACACCGCTTTTTGATACTTTTGAAGAAAACTCACCAGGAAACATCGAGATGTTCGAGGCTTATCGATCTCAATGTGTAAAGCAAAAATTGTTACAGACTTAAAATTAATAAATGCTTCCTTTTCAGAGATCTCAAGATCGTAAAGGTTAAAAGTTATTCTCGAATCGCTTTGCTTTCATAACTGCAATAAGTTTGATAGAGTTGAAAATTTTTTCCGAGTCCTTTGATATTTTCTGCCATTTGAATAAAAAGATCAAAATGCTAAACGTACTCTTAAAAAAGTATGCTTTTTTTCTCTGAAGCATTTTCTGCAAAACCTAGCCAAAATCAGCAATACAACATATTTGAAACAAAAAAACGAAAACGAAATGCCCTAACTACTATCTAGCATGAGTAAAAGAAAGTCTTAGATAAATTGGATGCATTATGTTTGAGAAATATTTTTTCATTGAAAATATTCCAACTTCTTCAGGGTTTTCGACTTTCTTAGTCATATATCAATGCTAGAAATATGTCCAGTAGATAGAATACACTTCGGACCATACATAGGTCAGAAAAAAACGAAAAAACCAGAAATTTTTAGCCGAGACAGCGAATTGAGTTTTCAATAGGAATAATGATTGAAAAAACGAAATATCCCTATAATATGATGTTAAAAGCTATGTTACACGTTTTTTCGCACTACCGCCAGAATAGCGCACATTAAATCGAATGATCTAAGAGTGGCTTAGTGGCGTTTAGTTCAATTTGAAATCGCATAGAAAAAGTATGTTATCTGGTCTCATTGTATCTATAAAACAATAACAGATAATTAACTCTTTGGCTGTCGACTTAAGAGAAAAAGAAAAACTCTTTAGAAAATCATTACAGCTATTTATTTTTGATCCAGTTTTATACATTAATACGAGATAACATTAAATCTTCTGTAAGATATGCAAGTATTTGAAACAGTCGGTAATACACAGTTCAACATCACATTCAGTACATTGGTAGCGCGTATCCTTTTGTTCCTTCACTCGTCGTTCAGTATTGTCGCCAACATAACATTTTCTTCAAGGAGTCTGATTGCTTTCATTTGGAGAATTAGAGACGGAAAATATCTGTCAGTCAATCACAATGGATGAGCACTCAATAGTCTGTCAACATGTGACCTCTTAGAGCCATACTTTGCAATGAGTTCACAAATAACCCCTATATACACTCCTTTTTTGAAGCATGACTCTAGAACATGCCATTACGAAATGACGGTATCGCCAGCTTCAGCTTCCTGATGTTTATTTCTATGGAAGTGAATCTAAAAAACATGCACTTCGATTGATTGCATCAGTTCTAGAGGCTGATGAAGTTCAGGACGCATATATGCGTTGGCGACAACCAAAGGATTAATCTTAACTACTTATTTATAAAATAAAAGTAACAAATATTAAATCATGTTTATTAATAGTAACAATTTTCAACAATATAAACGACTATATACTCTTCAATTAAAATATGAATAGCTCAAAAAAGTACATGTAAAAATTCCAAATCAGGCTGATTAAAATGATAGATAGTACGTATCCGATGAACGAGGGTGAACTCTTTTTTTTTTTACAAAACATGAAGTTTAAAAAATTTTTCTTAGTAACACTTCGGTCTGGTATAAATAATTATGATTGAAGATCGAACAATCTTATTTCAATTTCAGACTCTTATAATATTGTCATTGATATTAATAGTATGAAATTATTTGCTCATGGAATGAATAGTTTTATTCATTTTCTTGTTTATCACTTTTCACCGTAGCCAATCATTCAAACTTGACGAATCGAATTCTTCTATCAGTATAATTTAACACAGAATTTACTTGACACTTCAAACAAAATCGATTAACATTTGTTCATCAGTGCAATGTCAAATCAATTTGATCTCACATGCTTAGACTATTACTAACAATCGTCATTTTAAAACTCCGATTGACTTTGTGTATATGTTTCATTAATATCAAAGCCATTTGAATAAAAGAAAAAAGAATGTTTATACTAATATTTAAAGGCTTGCAAAATGTTCTACTATCCCTTATGATAAAATCACATTCATAAACAGTAATATTATCGAATGCAAAAAATAAAATGACGAAATCAAATATTGAAATATATACATTATACAAATATATATATACAACACAACCATATGTCGTTTTCATTTTCTTTTTGTCTTTTATATTTTGTTTGAAAAAAGAATCATAAACTTATACAAGCTGGTGCTATAGACAACAAATCTTTGATCAATGAATGTGACATCATTTGTTGATAACAATTGGTTCAATGATATTCAATATGGTAATACAGGTGCTGCTTTATTTATAATAACTTATATTGGTTGTTATGGTCTGAGTATAATATGTTTATTTGGTCAACAATTAAAAGCAACTCAACGACAACTACATGAATTACCTCCTTATTTTTTTCAAACACTTTGGGATGTACCAAATAAAAATAGACTTTATCGTTTGTATAAAATTGAAATTAATTAATTTAATATATTTTTTCATTTAAAAAAAAATCTTATTTTTTAGAAGAATTAGCTGACGTTGAACGTTTGAAACAGGTATTTCGTGGTTATTTTGCTGATCATGAAACATGTACAACAATAGGTTATGCTGATCTTCAAGCAATGGTTGAACAACGTGCATATGCATGTGCTTTAAGATATCGACAAAAATTAAGACGTCTTCATTTATCTCATACTGATTATTGTCTTGATACAATGAAAAATTTAATAGATAATGATACAGAAGAAAAATTTTCAAAATCAACTCTATTGACACATACAAATATTCATAATACAATGAATGATTATACAAATAGAAACGACAATGAAAATCAAATTTTAGCGATTTCTGTTGTTTAATTAAAAATAAAATTCTAAAATAATCTAAATTAAATTTGTTTCATATAACATAAGACTAAAATATTATTAAGCGTTTTTTTTTTCTTTCTTTAATTTAAAGAATGAATTTATTAGAAGAGTAAAAGACATATATTCATTATAAAGCATGAACAAGTTTAAATAATATTCAAGCGAAAGGATTTATAAATACTTGACAAATTTCTATGTATTTACTATTATGTTCAATTTTATGCATTATTGAGTAATTAACAATGTGTGTTTGATTTAATATTTATATGTGAGTCTTACATATCAATATCTTATTTATTAGACTCTTATGAGAAAAATGTCTAACTGATTTAATAATTTTTTAAATCTTGACTATGTGCATCGTAGTCTTCACTTTTGTTATAGAAGTATTAAATTTTTAATGTATTCTTTAGTAGAATACCCCGATCGCTCTCAAGAACATTGATTTGAAACTTTGCCAAGAGATAGATATTATCGAGAATGCTTTATTGTGAAAGTGGCAAGTTCTTCTTTAGTTTTCTCCTATCCTGAAATAACAATATCGTAATAGGCAGTGTATATGAATGACGTACATAATATGCTTTTACCATAGTTGTATATCTTAAGATAAAAACAATGAAAAGATATAGAATATTCATAATATATTTGCAACAATAAGCCAAGAGGTCGAACTCGTTTCAGGATATCATAGTTCGTTTAGTTCTACATAATACACATACTTTCTACTAAAAAGTAATTAATCATTTGGCGAACTTCCTTCATTAGATAATTCATATTACTAATTGACGTATAAATCAACAGAAGATCCATCAGTTGATTTTATAGTTTCCGTACAATTGTTTTTTTTTTTCTTTTTATATAGGACAGTTTTTTTATTTGATTATTCATATCGTTAATTTTAATTATTATTATAAATTATGACGCACATTTAATTACTTTTTTTTTTTAAATAATTTTCATTTTCAATTTATCATTTGAAATAAAATTGTTTAATGTTTATGACTAATAAAATTTTGTTATTTACATCGTTTAGAGAAGAAAAAAAAAAAAAAGAAGAGGAAAAGTGAATTTCAAAGAAAGAACTCTAAAATTTTTGATAAGTATGTAATGAACGTTGATTGACGGAAATAGTAGTTAAAAACAAACGTTATAATTATGTCATTCAAATGTGTTAATAAGCATGTAGGCATAAATTTTCTTCTCGCTATGATGAAAACGATGAGAATCATACTTAATGTATGTGGGAGGTAAGTAGGAGTATGTCAACCGAAAGAAAATAATAAGACATGTTGATTTTCTTGTATTTTATTTCTGATTCGAAAAAAGTCATTTTTTTTTGTCTCTTTCTATTCGGAAGTTCAGAATGCCATTTTTTTTTTACGAACAAAAGAATTGACTTTCTATAATATAATTTAGTTTTAAGAAAAGACCGGAAAAAGTAAAATGTGGTATGTTGACGAGTTCAAAACAATCAATGGAATCGAGAAAAAAAAAGGTATGAATTTTGATAGACTAATTGATGGTGAAAGACATGTTGTAAATCAAGTGAAAATATCAATTTTCAATTGAGCAATCAATGAAAATACGTTCATTAACAAAAAATTTTATTGAAAATACAATCAAGACTTAGTTTTTCTTTTTCAATGACAAGTTGTTCTTAGGTTAAAACTGCGCATATAGCTAAGTACTAAAGAGCAAAGCAAATAATCGTTGGCTAGATTATTTGTCTACAACATTAGATACTTTTTACTTTCACCTTAGCTTTTTTATTAAAAATTCTAGAATGCAGATTTTGATCATCACAATAGAAAATCAATATATCCAGACATGAATAAAAATACTTAAACAGATTGAAATGATTACCAAAATAAATTCTTATCAATATAGAATTATACAATATCTAATAATAGATTAACTTCTCTTTTTAAAAAAACTTTCAAAAATTTCTCGATGTTTTATCAATTGTAATAATATCAATAAATCTTAAAAACCATTTCGAACAACATGTTTTTCATCTTAAAGTTCACAAAGCTTTATCTTACTCAATAGAATGTATTCATATAAACTAGCATTAAGATTATAACAAAGAAAAAAAATGAGATCTTCAATAAATAATGCGATGAACCTACATAACACAAAAAAAAAAACAAGGTTTTGCTTCCTTCAATAATCCTACATACAGTGCTATCATATGCAACTAATGGTAATATTACATTATTAAAAGTAACAGGCACAAAAAAATGTGTGATCCCATGTGATTCTGACTGGACAAAAATCATTGGTAGTTTGATACGTAACTTTTTGATTATCCTGTCATTGCCATTCTACTATGGTATGCTAACAGATATTCTTCGACAGGCAATCTACTTGTCAATGTACTACTAGTGACAGTATGAGCAAACGTGTGACATGAGATGACTTGTTGATAATTTCGATTTCTTATTTAATTTAAAGTACAACTAACAAGGCAAAATAATTGTCATTACTATTAATAATTTTATCAAATGATTGTCCATCTGTTTATCAGAAAAGATAAAGCAAATATAACTTTTTAAAAATGTTACTTAGCTTTCTTTTTTTATCTTTAATTAACTAAATATTTATTGATATGATAAAGAAGTCATCTGCTATTTAAATTATTTAACATTATCAAATGTACCTGTCACTTATTAAAATAATAACTAAAAATTGTTTGTTAAATATATTTATTTAACTCTATGTTACTGTAACATTCGCACTTATCCTATTCGTAACTTTTAGATTTTTTTTTTTTTTCATGTTTATTTATTTATATAATTTCTTCATTGATTCATACAAAATGATGAAATATGTTTTTTTTTTCTTTTCTTGTTCATCTGTACTGAATGTCATTAAACAGACATACATTAAGAGGGACAACACAATAAACAAAAGAAAATCTCACCTAGAGATATACTTAAACTGATCACTGTCGTTTTTTTTCTGTTTTTTTTGTTTGTTGAATATACATATACGAAAGGAAAACAACATCATTATTATTCTGGAAACACCAAAACAAAAAAAAAAAAAAGAAAGAAAATATAGATATAACTCTGAAGAAGAAAACAACAACAGTTAGACATACAAATACATACACCGGTATTCACATTGTTTTTTTTTTAAATACAATAAGAATGAGAAAAAGAATGACACAAATGTAATCATTCATTATTTCTTGAGTTACAAAAAAAACAAATAGTTTGTCTTGGTCAATAGATGAGTATGAAATATGTTTTTCTTTTTTTTTTTTTCTATATTTGAGCAAAATTTTATACGAAACGAAAGTTTTCTTTGTTTTTTTTTTTTTCTCTTTCTTTTTTTTTTGCGTCATTTTCAAGTTGCATTTGGCCAACTTGGTGAATCAAAACGCGCATGTTTCAATGATGGTTCTGAACATGAAGATGAATTTATATAGTCAATTGATCGTTGTTGTTGAGGTATAGGAGTTTTTGATATCGGATGATTCGGACCGGAATTTGTATCATTTATTGATGAACGAGAACTATTTGTAGCAAGTGGCATAGGTGGTGAATATGGTTCATTTTTTGGACGAAGATGTTGCTGTTGTTGTTGTTGTTGTTGTTGTTGATGATGAAGATGATGCTGTTGTTGTTGATAATATAAATGTGGACTAACACCAGTTGAATTATTATTATTATTATTGTTATTATTTGATGCCGATGATTGAGCACATAGAGCTTGTTGCATATCATAATTCATCATGCTAGATTAGAAAAAAATAATAGAAAATATATTTTGAAAGTTCATTTTTTTTTTTATTATTGATTTCAGAATAATTTTAAAGAATATGATTTACCCTAATGGTAATGAATTCATTTGAAGTGCAGCTGCTAAGGACGAACGAGATGATGGATGCCAATGAAGAAAATTATTACTTTCACCACTACCACTACCTGTATTTAATGAGAAGTCAGCTAAAAAAGAAAGATTATTCTCATAGTTAAAACATTAATAAATAAGACATCAAAAATGAAATTTACCATTGATGCGATTAGTTGTTCCTCCTCCACCTGTCAAATCATTATGATGAGATGTGACATGTGATGATGATGATGCTGTTAATGGTGTTCCACTATTAGAATTTATTGAAAATTTATTATTTATATTTGATGATGATTGTTGTTTAGATGATGAATTTGGACTTGTACGTGATTCACTTGGTGAACTAGGCGGTGAATAAGTTGATTGAGGTGATGGTGAAGAAGATGCATCAATGCCAGTTGTTCCATGAACTAAAATTTTTTGAAAATAAAAAAATCTAACATAAACACTTTAAGTTAATGTAATTAATTAACCTGATAAAAAATTTTGTTGTTGTGTTGTTTGTTGTCCAATACCATTTATCATTGATAATGATGGATGATAATTAGCAGCTTGTTGAGACTAAAATTTATTTAAAAAAAAAAAATAAAAATCGATTATTTTATTTTATTTATTTTTTCTAATGTTGATATATATAACTACTTGATTTGTACGTTTTCTTGAATCATTTATTGTAGGATCAAGATGATGATGAGATGGAAGTTGATGATTACTATCCATTTCATTAGCACTTTCATCTTCCATATCATTATCACTATCATTTTGATCGAGATGTTTCGATTCTTTTTTATGAAGAATCTTTAGAAAAAGAAAATGCGTAACAATCACACATTAATAATATTGTTGTTTTTTCTTTTTTCTTGTTACTTCTTACCTGTACAATTTCATTGTTTGTTCGACTTTCATGTGGTTCATTATATTCTGTATATTTGAGCAAGATTTTGTCCATATCCGTTGATGCATATTGGAAAAGTTTATTGGACGAATTAAATATAATGAGCGCTATTTCACAATCACATAGAACACTTAATTCATAAGCTTTCTTCATAAGACCAAATTTACGTTTTGTAAATGTCACCTGACGATTGCGTTCGTCAGTTATTTTCGATATTTGAATTTTTTTTCTACCCATTCTAAAATAAAAATATATTGAAGTCAAACATGGATAATAGACATTAAAACGAGAGAATATGTGACAAAAAAAAAAAAAAAACAAGAAAAGAATCATCTAATATGAACGATGATATTGGATATGAAATGAGAATTGTGCATGTTATTCTCATTAAAACTCATTAACATAAAATCTATGCTTAAATATGAATGACGCGTACCTTTATGAATGCAGGAGAAAAAAAAGAGCAAGAAAGATAGCACATAATATGTACGTGAAAAGGAAAAAATGTATATATATATTTAAGTTCATTTTCTCAATATTTCTGCCGTGAATAAATTTTTTTTCATGTGTTCATTTTTAATACGTAATCTTTTTCTTTTAATCAACTAGCGTGAAAAAAACTTATTCGTGCGCATACTCGTTTTTGGGAAAAACCTGAGATACATCAAACAGATATAGTTATTCTCATCAGAAATATTCTATGAATGTCACTCGTGCATAGTTCCTTTCATCCTGATCGTTTGTAAGCTTTCCGCAACTTAAATCTATTCAAATAATTCGATGGTTGATCGAATATATATATTTATATATATTCATTTTCAGAGTTCTATCGATCAAAAAATCATGTTCAACTTAATTAAATAATCGTAGATTACGATAAATGTCCGCAATAAAGGATTGTATTTTTTTTTAGTAACATAAACGTTAACTAGAGTAGTAATTTATTATTAGATATGAATATATGACTTACCTAAACCCGTGTGTAGGTTGTTTTTTTTTCCTTCGTTATTTTTGTCTTAGTTGATGACAATAATATAAAAAAAAAGAAGACGAAGATAGGTGATGACAAACAAACGGTATGTTGTTTGTTTGTCGAACTAGCACACGATGATGATGATGATGATGACAAGCTTCGTACGTGTGCGTGTATTTTGTATATATATATGTGTGTGTGTGTGTGTGTGTGTGTGCGTGTGCGCGCGTTTGTCCTGAGATTTTTTTTTTCTTCTTCTTTTTCTTCTTGCTTTGAAACACAAAGACGATGACGCAGTCTGGAAGCACAACAGAGACCAGTCGGTCGCGACTTTTTTTTTATATATTTTTCGAAAAAAGAAAAACGAGAAACGCTTGTTGCTGATGCTAAAGCGACGTCGTCGACTATTGCTTTCGTTCTTTCAATGCACCCTATGATGCCCAGATTCTCTCTCACTTCAACCCTTTTTTCTTGTTCTTCTTCTATCGACCCAGTTTTCTTTCTTTTTTTTTTGTCTTGGTTTTTTTTCTCTTTCGTCCTTTTTTTTTCCTCTCCTTGAGTTATGTCTAATTTGCGTGTGTGTTATTACATCGAACACTGGCCTATTGTGATGATAGACAACAGGAAACATTAGAACAAGCTGCTGCATATGTATTTTAACGTGTCTTCCATCTGTTCGTAACACGTGGTTCATTCCTTCAATAAGTACTTAAATAATCTAAAAAAAATATGAGAAAAAAACGCAGATACACACACACATACGTACTTATCTTAGGTTTCAACATTTTCTGAATATGACATGCATTTATGCAAAAGACAAGAGCACATATGATGTCTTTTCTAATGATATCTTCTTGCGTACAAGTATCTTTTAATGTGTAATGGAAAGCATTTTAATAGAAAATGCAGAACTAGTAATAAAAAGAAGCAAAAAAAAAACGAGAAAGAAGCCTAAATGTATCACTTAGGAAATAATTTAAAGTAGAATACTAAAGGATAAAAACCAAATAAAAAAAAAAACAGGGGAACAAAACCAAATGTATGGTTTTTGTCTTTACAATCTTTCGAATTGACAAATGATAGAATCTGGATAGTAGTTTATGAAATAGTAAATATAATAATCATATAAAGATAGTTTTTTTTTCTTGATTGATTGCATAAGCCTGTATGAAAGATTGTGTAGGTGTTCAAGATGATGTCATTTGTAGAAAAAAAAAGAAGAAAGAAAGAAAGAAAAAGAAAAACAAGAAACATAATTATACAAAAAAATGAGTTATAGCAATTAATCTTGTTTAAATACCACCACCACTTCGTTCCGGTGATGGATTATTTTTGATTTTATCTATACGAGTAGCTTTCACAAAATGACTTGTTGACACTGCACCAGATTTGATTGCACTCATTAACTTTAAAATAAAAATACTTAGAAAAATAAATTAATTCAAAAATAAATTAATTGTACTTGAAGAAATTCTTCTGTTTCAATAATTCCATTTTGATTTTGATCAATTTCACCCATTAATATTCGAAATTCATCGTCAGATATTTCATTTTTTGATGACTAGAAAATTTTTAAAATATTTTTTTATGTAAATTTTGTTTTTTTTTTACTTGTAAATATCGTTTTAAATCAGTCATTGTTAAAAATCCTTTATTTTTAACATCAATTTGACGAAAATATTTCATATAATAACTCATTTCTTCACGTGTAAAATTAATTGGTACATCACGACGCATATCACGTTTTAAATTAAGACCCATCTCACGTAATAAAAATGTTTTAGCACGATCGGTTTCTTCCTTTTTATCATGAAAAAAAAAAAAAATTAAATTAAAATAAAATAAAAATTTTATTGTCAAACTTTTTGTTTTTCTTTATTCCAATTCAATTCTTTAGCCATTATTTGTATTATATCAGGAAGAGCTTCATCAGCAGCAATTACATTTAAAAATGAAAGTCTAGTACGTCGAGCAAGAATATCTATAGCTGTACGAGCATATTCTTTTACAGCATAACTTATTTCAGCTTCAATATAAGGAAATTCTTCATGCAAACGTTTTCCAAGAACTGGCCATCGTTTTCCAGTTAATGATGCTAAATCAGCTACTTTAGGCGCTTGATCACCATATGTATGTGAAAGATGAATAGCAACCTATTGAATACAGAAATATGAAAATAAATATTGATCTCTTTTTTTTCTCTCTAATTAACCTCCGTATCAAGACCATAATCTTGAACAAGACGAATATATGAAGTTGGTGTCCATTTTTCACCACCACTAAGAATTAAACCTTTTGTTATACAATCTCTTTTTGGTTTTAATTTAGCTGATTCTATACATCGATCAACAGTTTCTTCAGCCATTTGTCTATATGTGGTCCATTTTCCTCCTGATATAATTAAGGTTTTATTTAATAAAATTCTAATCTGATTATATAAGATTTATGAAAAGATTATATTAATGATGTGTAATTGAATGTTTGTAAGTATCTACATCAAATCTTTCTAATCTTCTAAAATTATTTTGAAAAATTAATTTATATTTACATTGTCATTGAAAAGATATATTTTATTGACTTTCAAATATCTACATAATGAGATATACAATATAAGATATTGTATGGTCAGATTTTCTAAGAAAAATTTAATAAATCTTTAGGGAATTAAAATCATATAATGTCTCAAAATAACTTGTAGAATTTTATGTTTTTTTCTTTTTTTATATTAGAAATTTAGAAGAAATGTATTAAATTTATTAATTATTATATTGTTATTCTAAATCGATGAATCAATATTCTTAAAATTCTAATATCTACATTCCTTCTGTTTAGATTCAATATATAAACAAAAAAGCAATCAACTAAAATTGCTTTGTATGAAAACCTATAGGGATTTATTGAATAAATTAGCTTTCTTTTTTTACCTCCAATCGTAACAAGGCCTGAATCACTAACATGAATAATATGATTTCTTGCAATTGATTGTGTATCTTTTTTATTTGGATTAAGAACAAGTGGTCGAATACCTGCCCATGCTGATAAAACATCACCACGACGTACTTGTACATCGGATGAAAGATAATGTTTTACTTCACCCAATATAAAATCAACATCTTCAGTTGATGGTGATGGATAATCAGTTATTTCACAAGGTGTATCAGTTGTACCTAATTAAAAATATTTTAAAGTTTAAAAAATAAAAATCCGTTTTTCAATTTAATACCAACCAGCCATTGTATGTTTTTGCCATGGTAAAAAAAATATAACACGTCCATCAGATGTATTTGGATCAAGAAGACCCATATTTGTTGGACTATAATAATCAGGTAATACAATATGAACACCAACTGATGGTTGACAAATTTTTGGTAATGATGGATCATCTAATTGTCGAACTGTATCTGTATATGGACCGGTAGCATTGACCACACATTTAGTTCGAATTGTAAATTCTTTTTCTAGAATATTACATTCGATTAAATGATGATTATATTATCTAAGTGTTCTATGAAATTGAATTAGCAGTGTTTTTATATAAGGTGAAAGAGTTGAAATTCATTTTATAAGTTCAATTAGTATTTCCGGTCGTAATATAAAAATTTTGACTAAGTATAGTTAGCTATATTCCTGATGGAGTTTTTTTTTTAATATGAACTTGTTAGGAGATGCAATGTCTTCCGATTGTTTGTATTCAGTGATTAGTACTCTGTGCAAATTTACTCGAGTAATCTTGATAGTGATTGTTTGAGAAAAAAATTATAGTTGACACTTAATTTTTGGATGCAGTCGATCGGATCGGCTTGGGATCTAGCTAATGAATGTTAGCAGCGTTAAAATCTTTGATGCTTTGAGTTTTTCAATATAAAACATGATATTTTAGAAAATAATGGATGAGTCGAGAACTTTGAGACAAAAGTCATGAATTAGAAACAAAATTTTGTGCTCTTTTCGAATATAGACTTCGAAAATTTGTTAATCTTTAAAAGGCTTCAAAAAATTATTTAAACGAAAAGTTCCACTGCAAATTTTTTGTAGTTTTACTCTCGTAAATCGAAAGTAAAAATGAGAAGTTTTAGTAATATATTAATTTGTAAAGCAGAAAATATCCTTCTATCTGAACTTTGTCTTTGTTCAGAATATTTTTATTTTGTAATAATCAACTTTTTGAGAACAAATTCTCAGTAAAACAAATCAAACTCTCAGTACAAAACTTAATGTTCGATAATTATTACGTTTGCTCAGTAAATTAATAATTTGTTTAATGTAAAAATTAGAACATCGATAACTAATTTAGTTTGATCATCAGATGAATACTAGTTTTATCAGTAATTGAATCATTTTTATTTATTTTTAGAAAAATAGAAGAATGTTTTCACGTCAATCAGGCGAATATTTTAAATTTTGTAACTGTGAGTTCAGTTTATTCAGTGACAATAATCACCGAAGGTAGAAGAATAAAAGATTATGTATGAGGACATAAAGAAATATACCAAAGAATGAAAAGAAATAATTAGGGTATAACACCTGAAAACATAGCAGAAAAAAAAATCAACAATTCATGTGTTTTTTGGTTGATGGGAAAATAAAAAATACATGATGTATTTACGTATTTGGACAAATCTTTAACAAACATCATCAATCAATAGATTTAGTGTAATACAGAGCTTAAGATAAATGTTTGGTAAATAAGAATACAACAAAACATTTAAAATAAAGTAAAACAAGTACAGAAGTATATTAAGTTTTTTTTTGTTTAATTTTTATTTGCTCGTCTTATATTTTCTAAACATTTTTTTTAGGCTGTATATTATACTCAATTCTATTTACAATATAGTTGACCATACGTCTAGAAATAAAATAATTTAGTGAAAAAAGACATCGTAATACACCATCAAAATCCAAGAAAGTACAAAAATTGCTGAGCATTCATCATAAAATACAAGTCGAATTTTTCACCAAAAATGCGTTTTGTATAGAAAGAAGCTCTTGACAAAGTGCCTATAGGTTTACTTGAAAGAAAGCTATAGTTTAGTTCAATATACCATTTTGTAAAGAAATGTCCTCGTAACAAGACTATCGATTTCGATCGTTTTCAATGCTATTAAAAAAGAATTCATCAAGGCTAGTAAAAGCCTATTAATTTACCATTTAATCTGCTTTCTAAGAGCTTAGAAAACTGAGATAAAAATTTCTAAGCCAACATTCGACAAGCGCACAAAATTCTGATGTCAGAAAATAAACAAAAATTTTGTTTCAAGACTTACGCTCGACGTATGGATATAACAAATCTGAAAGAAATCCAGAATATGGTAATAATTCTTCCGAATTGTACTGAAGTATTCCAAAACTTTTCATTCTCAAGAAAAGAACGAAATTGTTCTGTGTTGAGAATTCTCATCTCCAAATTTTGGTACATTATCGTACCAAATTCAAATAAAATCCAAGTGATTGGAATCATTAAAAATCAAATTAAAGTATAAAGCTATATTAATCGAAATCCCAAGGCTTCGACCAGAACAATCATTTCGACTATTAAAAAAACGACGACTGAAAGATTCCGAAAACAGCATATAAATGCGTTAGTTTCATTATAAATCTTCAACTTGTTTGAAGGATCATTTCTTCGCTAGCAAACGATTATCGTTTCTCTTAACATATTCATTTTGTTACGAGCTTACGAAACATGATGAGGTAAGATGTCGATTTTCGTGGATATGTTGCATCTCTAGTTCTATCTGTTACTAGACCATTTTAAACTTTCTTATATTTTTCAAACGAGTGAAAAGTTAACACACTCACAATATAATTTTCACATTTTCATAATACAATATTCATTGTATATTAGTCATCATATTTCAACTTATAACTATTAGTTTCGTATATTCTCAAGCAACATATCTTAATGATATTTTCATACTTTGATATCGATCAAAACATTTTACACCACGAATAATTTTTTTTGTTTCAGGTTGTCCTTGAGTATTATCAACTTTAATATTTTCATGTATAATTTCTGTAACAGCACAATGATTTGCAATATTTGCACCCATACGTGCTGCTGTAAATGCAAGTGCTATATTCATTCGTGCATCATTATGTTGTCCATCATAATAAACAATAGCACCAACAAGTTTTTCTTTTTTTAACATAGGAAATAATTCTAATGCTTTGTTTTTTGTTATTAAATAAGACCATCGAAGTAATTGTCGACCTGATACAAAATCATATGCTTTTATACCAGCATAATAATATGGTAATAGATACCATCTAAATAATAGATACATGAGAGATAACAAAAAAAAGAAAAAAACAACAACTTTTATTTCTATTTACTTATAAACAGGTAACATTATTGGTAATGGATATGATAAATGTGGAGCTATTTTAAGAAGATTACCACGTTCATATAAAGCTTCTTTAACCATATGATACTAAATTTTTTTTGAAAAAAAAATAAAATTTATAATTAATTATTAAATTTTTATTTTTAATTACTTGTTCACGATCGAAATGCATTATAGCTTTTTGTAAATATCGAACACCACCATGTATTAATTTTGTTGATCGTGATGATGTACCACTACTAAAATCATATTTTTCAACTAAAGCTACTTTGAGACCTTTACATTGAAATAAATAAAAAATAAAAATAAAAACAAACATATTAGAAATAAAATTTTATTATTAAAATATAACATACCACGACTTGCTGCATCAACAGCAACTCCACAACCTGTTGCTCCACCACCAATAACAACAATATCATATTCAGATTCATTTGACATTTGATTAATTTGAGCTTCACGTGTTGGATAATTATCTAACCATATTTCAGGTGTATGTAATGTAGGATTAGCAGCATTTAATTTATTTTTCTAAAATAATTCGAATTATAACAACTATCAAGAATATAGAAAAAAAAAATAACAAAATTTTCAATTAACCTTAAGAATATATTGTCCGATATAACCGGTACCGAGAGCTGATGTACAAAAAAGAAGTCCATGTTGAATAAAACGACGATTAAAACTACGAAACATATCTAAAAAAAGATTTAATATTATGAGAAATATTCTTTGTCCTTGTTGCCCTTCGTTGTGAATTGCCAAGGTTTTAAAATACATGCATAAAGAATATTGAATAACATGATTGGTTAGTATGAGCGCAATATGATTCTAGATGATGAAGAATAGGAAAAAAATATTTACGTACATATAATCTTGACTAATTGTTTCGCGTTCTGTACTTCAGTTAAAAGCAAATATACAATATCAGTTTAAAGTATTTCATCAATGATCAACTCGAATAAAATTGGTTTTATAAAAGACAGCAAATAAAAACGTAGTATTGTTAAGATATATGGCGTATCTTTACGAGCGCGTTGTTGTTTGTTGTTTAGCAAGTAATGATCATAAATGGTATGATCATTTTATATGTCAATAAATAATGCCAAGAAGAAAAAAAAAGAGAAAAACATTTTAACAACAAAATAAGGAACTAAATGTATGTATGTTTCTTTTTTTTCTTGACATCAATGAACTTTAGATTGTATAAGTACATCGATGAGTACAATGAAAGAGTTGATTCAGCTAGATAAAAAAACAAAGAATATATATTTTTCTGAAGTATAATAATATTAAGTAAATGATATAGACAAGAATTCGATTGATAAATCTTTGTACTAATTTTAAAATAATATATATTTAATCGTTAATAACATACAGTGGCTGCCAAAATTGTGCGACCGGGTGTAATTTGGATTTTTTTTCGTAGCCGTAAGTGCTAGAAAGAATTCCGATAGTGATTTGAATAGAGAAAATTATTTCCAACAAGAATCCAAGAAAATAATAATCATCAGTAAATTCCGAAAAATAGGATTTCTAGAAAACCAAAACCATGGTTT